CTAATGATTAAATTTTTTTTTTGTTATTAAATTTTTTTTTTTTTTTTTTTTTTTTTTATACAGCAAACAATATGGTTATTCTTTAGAGACATGATAAAAGGGATTGTCTTAGCTATAGTGATTGGTCCACCTATTGTAGCTGCCATAATTGTAATAGTGCAGGTACATTTTTTTTCTAATAAATCTGCTAATGGTAATATTATGGATCAACTTGATATTTTTGCTACATTTTTAATTTCAATTTATATTTTGATTTCTTTCTCATTAATGTTCTCAACGTTTATAGACTAGGAATAATCACTTGAGCAATTATTGACAGAAAGAAAGAGATTAATCATCTTGAGTGAAAATGGTTTTTGGTTTGCAGAAAGGAGGCCCCTACTTGGCCATATATCTGTGGGCTTTTATGCTTGTTCTGTCTCTTGTCATGATGACAGTTTACCCGGTTTTGATTGCTCCGCTTTTCAACAAATTCACGCCGGTAGGTTGGGTTGTCTAATTATTTTTAACTAGGAAAAAATTGACATTCTATCTTAACTAGCCAATAAGTGGAAAAGTTGTGTATTACTTGTGGCTGACTTCATCAATCGTGATACCTTTTTGGATTGCTCATCTATTTATTCATTTGTTTTTTTTTTTGGCCAACAAATAGCTCCCAGATGGAGAGCTTAGGGTCAAAATTGAGAATCTTTCTTCGTCGCTCAAATTTCCCTTGAAGAAACTGTTCGTTATTGATGGATCCACAAGGTCTAGCCATAGCAATGTAAGGATTTTTATTGTATATCATAGTTGTTTCCCAGCTTTATTTTAATGGGTGCATTTTATTTGAATTTTTACAGACATTTAAAGTAGATCATTTTTTCTTATTATTTATACTTGGATTGTCTGCAATGCTTATATGGTCTTTTTGATTATGCGAATCTGTGCTTAGCTAAATGATATTTTAGGTGTAGAACAATTGACTTCTACATCCATGGCCTTACCTAACACTATATCTTCAACCATGCAAGATATATGAAGAATAAAGTAAAAGAAAAAAATGCTACATTTTTTTTTAAGGAAAAGTTGATAGTCTTTCTAAACTAGAATGAGTTGTTCTCCCATTTTATGGAAGAGTAATGCTATATATACAAATTGGGGATGATCCCCACCCCATGTGAGGCGGCATTAAATTGTAAGGCCAATAATTTGGGTCTCATATCCACAATTTAATTGGTCTTATCATTTCATCCAATATCATGTGGGGATCATCTCCACTTTGTTCATATAACCCGTGTTTTGAAGGAATTAAAACCAGATTTTAATATAAGTCAAAGCCAACAATTAATTTGAACTACATATTTCATGGGACCGTCGACTTAGAATTAGCGGGGAAGTTCTCACCATCGAGAACGTTCTTGGTGTGCTCAATTCGGATTGAGAGGAAGGTAAGTGAAGTTCTGTAAAAGTAACAGGAAGAATTGCAAACGTTTTCGATCCAAAGTGTATCACGCTGGAATCAAGCCTCGGGTCGGGGTCACAATGACTATCCATTAGAATTGTGGCTTGGTAGAGTGAGCTTTCGTCGACCCAAAACTTTTTAACCACACACTTCATTAACTTTTATCAAAATCTACTAAAAAATTGATTTTAGTCCCCACCAAACAGGGGCATAGTATTGTTCTTTATTGAATTAATAACCCCCTCCTCTACAAAACAACATAAAATACCACTAGCACCTTTGTTCCATGTCTTGCATGGTTGTCAAGGAATCTGATGACTTGTTTTAGAGTCATTGATCCTGAAGTAGTGTTCTAAACATTATGAGCCATAAAAATAGAAGGCTCAATTTAGCTTTGTCCTTACTAGTGTGTGGTATTAGTAAGAGTTGTCTGCAATCAATTTTGACTATGGGCTATTAGTTGCCATTAGGACTTGGCCAAATTATGGTGCATGTTTTCGGTTGTTGTTAAAAAATAAAATAAAATTGTATTCAATCCAACAAAGAGTTTTCAACATGCGATAGGATGGCCTGAAATAAAGAGGTGAGATGCAGTATGCTATTACTGAGTACACAATGAGTATGATTCTACCAGTCAAGGGCAAGTAATTCCCACTTCCATGTGATGACCTGAAATTAGATTTGAAATCTAGTACGCAGCTATTGAGCATATGATAGGGTTCTAAACTGTTGGAAGAATTTCTGTCATCGTAGTTTAATAAAATGTATCAAGATCACTAGGAGCAGCACCTCAATCACCCCTTTAGAAGGAGCACGAGTATTATTTCGTTGGTTTTCAGTCTCCTTTGAGATATATGCATGTTGAAGATGGAATCTAATGAAACTGGAACTGACCCTGTCACAATTGAGTGAATTCTCCTTTACAATTGTGATGATATCTGTGTTTCTTGGCCTATTCTAGAGAACGGAGAAAATTTTTCTTGTTTTTCACTGTCAATGCATTATGTTTTAGTATCTGTTTCCTCTTAACTTTGCCTTTCTGAAGTGTTTCCTTTGTGGTTCCCCTCGTGCGCCTATTGCTTCTGACTTAGCTAGCCACATTTCTACAGGCTTACATGTATGGATTTTTCAAGAACAAGCGCATTGTCCTTTACGACACATTGATTCAGCAGGTATGGAAGATTTATCTCTCTGTACTTGGAAATTATGATCTTCATTTCCTTTTATTATGCTTCTGGAGTAAATTCGTGAAGATAATACTAGTTTAAAAATAGATTAAGGAATATCCTTTTTAGCCCTGGTTTGACAACTATTATTTGGGAAAATCAATGTCTTGAATAGTGATTTTTAGGAGAATGTGTAGTTAAAAAATAAGAAAAAGTTTTGGGTTTATGTGCAGAATATTTTATTGTGTAAATGTGTAGTTAAAAATTAGTATGTAGAAAAAAGAGTTTTCAAATAATGGTTGTCAAAGAGGCTTAATCTCATGATTTTCTTTTTTCTTTTTGAAAAAATTTGAAATCTTCAATTCTTCTGGTGCATTTCACTTATCAACTGATGTCCTGCAGTGCAAAAAAGATGAGGAAGTTGTTGCAGTAATAGCACATGAACTGGGTCACTGGAAGCTTAATCATACTGTGTACTCCTTCATTGCAGTTCAGGTATGTTAGTCATTTTCTAGCAGACGGAATTAAAATACTGATTTGGGTATATGGAATGGTGACCAAATGTTTTTGCTGTTCTCGTTGTGTGCTAAAAATTATTGCATTTTTCATGTATAATCTGAATGATTGTGGTCTAGCTATATATTTTATGGAGTGTGAGAGAATATACATGGTTGTCTACTTGTCTTGTTGGAAATCTTTTTAGGTCTTTAATAGTTACTCTTTTGGTGTAAAGTTATGTGGCTAGATCTGTCTTTTTGAACGTCTGTTCAATATTAGATAAATTGGTACCTCTTATACTTAAAATGACATTTTCCAACTGTTTCCTTTTCTGCTGATCTTAACTTGGTTTATCATATCAGTAAATGTCATCCTGTAAGTACATTGATAATGGTGGAAGAGGCCTAATTATTATCTGGATGAGTTAAAATGCTTTTAATGTTCCTGGAACATTCTCTGAAATTTTTAATTTTACTTTCCTTTTGAACATAACTTGGTGGTAATTAGGAATCATTAACAGCGCTGTTGTGAGGTTGATGATTCTAAAGTCTGGATACAATGGTTGAATTGTTAATGCAATCATATTTTGAGATATTTGGTGGCACTATAAAGAAATAGAATGAGAAAAATGAGATGTAATTAAATGTACTAATGGACTTTCCATTAATATTGCTTAGCTGCGGCACCTGCATCGTGTTGTGCTTATTCATATCAAGTCTATCTAGCTTTTGAAAGTATGAACTTATATTCTTGTGCTATTTATGGAAGTATTTGATCATATCCAGTCTTTCTGGTGGCCATTTGAGCCCTCAAGGCTCAATGCGCTGGAAAGAGTAGTTGGTTGTGAGCAACACTGTTGGAATAGTAATTAAAGTTTCTGAAAAAACCGTGAAGCCTTGTGCTTAATAAATTGGATAAAAGCTTTTCCTTAGGAATGTGGCTGATATTTATACTTTCAATTCTGACTGAGTTCTTATCCAAATGCAGATCCTCACATTTTTGCAATTTGGAGGGTACACGCTTGTAAGGAACTCAAAAGACCTCTTTCAGAGTTTTGGGTTTGATACACAACCTGTACTAATTGGACTTATCCTATTTCAGGTATTAATACGTATAGTTGTTAAGCTTTCGGCTTGTTCAAAAAAATTTAAGTTGAACACCTATTGGGTAGTCTTTTTATTTTCCTTGAATGCCTAGGAGCTAGTTTTAGTATTTTGAGCAGTTTGTCATTTCCGAATAACCAATAATTGGCATATGTGTGTGTGTACATTAGAACATACCATATTTGATGCAGGCGTTATGACTATAATTTGGGTTTTCTGGTGTTCCCAGTGGACTCTGCAAGTATTAATTGATCATTCCAAATGATGCTATATTATGAAACCATTACTGTTTTATTGCTATTAATATGATTATATATTAGTACTATTGGTAGTAATAATTGTTTTAGAACTTTCATATCTTTATGGAGTGAAGAAAGCAATAATTGTCATGACTATGTATGTTAATCCCGTTGATGTCGGTTGCAGCACACCGTGATACCTCTCCAACATCTCGTGAACTTTGTTCTTAATCTTGTAAGCCGAGCATTTGAGTTCCAGGTAACCTTCTGATGAATACCATAGTTTTTTATTTTGATTTTCTTGTACTAGACCATTTTCAAACTCACACTAATCAATTAATGCGTCTTTTTTGTTTCTCAAAGGCTGATGCTTTTGCCAAGAAGCTTGGATATGGGTCGGCACTTCGGGCTGGTCTTGTGAAACTGCAGGTGATTTGTCTTTTGCTTTCCCCACGTGTTTAGAAATATTGAATATTCTGCTTCTTTAGTTCTTTTACTATTCAAAATGGTAATATGGTGGAATCTCCATATATCTCGTTTCCTAAATTCAATTATAATGGTTTAAGCTCACTACTTAGAATGAACACGTAAAAGCTCGTGATGCAAACACATACAGCATGTTTGGTAACAGTCGAGGACAGTAGTAGACAATAAAATGGCATGATGTTTAACATTTTTTTTCTTTCTTAATATTGTGACTATTATCCAATCCACCTTACCAAGCATGTTAATAAGGCTATCCATATTTAGGTGGTTTATTTTTATAGAGGTCTTCTTTAGTTTTCTTTATCGGTCAAAGTTAGAAATAAGTAAGTAACTTATTTTGACATTAAGATAGAAGTTACTTCGAAATAAGTAACTTTTTTTTTAAAAAAAAAACTTATAAGTGAGAAAAAAGTAAGTCATCCAAAGTTGGGAAATAAAAATGAAGTCAGAAGGAACTTTTTCTTGAAATTAAGTTTAACAAAACATGCTCATGTTGAAATTGCTACATTTAACATCTTTTTTGTTGTTTGACAGGAAGAGAACCTTTCAGCTATGAATACCGACCCCTGGTATTCTGCATATCACTATTCTCATCCTCCTCTGGTCGAAAGATTAGCTGCAATCGATGAACCCGATAAAAAGGCAGATTGATTGAGGACTTGGGGCACACCGAAAATGAGTATGATCTAGTCATTTTGCAGTTTGTACTGGACCAATGTAATAATGAGAATTTTATCCGTAGTCCATGTTGTGTTTACAATTTTCTGTTTAGTCGTGTAAAAAATCGTATACTAGATTAAATGGATAAAGTTTGAAGGGTAAAGAAAATATCACAATGAAACTAATTTACCTGTGTTAAGACTGTTTATGTACCTATTTGATATTAAAATAGTTATAAGTAGGCATTTTTCATGTTCTCTATGAAATCACGACGGCCTGTATTGTGGGTTTTCGGTTTTCATTCATTCATTTTCTTTTTAATCGAAACAAGTTAGAGTTTAGGTGGGATGTTTAAGCCTCCATCCAGACCTGATTTGGGACTTGATTAGTTATTGGCAGTATAAAAAGGACACGAGAGGATGCACAAAGTATCAAACAAGAAAAGTGTGTGTTCAAATGGAATTTATTTAATGTTTTACTCTAAAATAGTCTAGGTTGTTAGAGGGTCATGTCCTTATTTCTTGCTCTAATTATTATTATTATTATTTTATTATTATTTTTTTTTAAATGATGGGAGAATTTTCAGTCGTTACCTTTCGGGTACGCACTAAGTAAACGCTTGGACTAATTATTTTCTAATATTATAGGTGATAGTGTGTGAGTGAATGTTATGTCGACAATTTAGATATTTTGTATCTCTACTGAAGAGTTAAAAGGAAATGAAATGCAGTGACGAAAACTCAATTTGGAAGTCAAAGCACCCTCAATCAGGCTTGATATGGGGCCTGTTTTGGCTCGATTTTTTCACCCAAAAAATTGATTTTTTGATTGTTATGTCACTATTTTAGTTGTCATATTTGACTTCTTTTCTCACGGGTGGATCCTATTTTTTTCCTAATTGTCAAAAAATAAATTCTTAAAATTACTTCCAAATAGACTCATAATTGTTTCTATTGATATTTCAATTTTCAATGCGAACATATCAAATCACCTCCAATGGAGATAAATAGTAACACACTTCTAAACTTGGTCTTCCTATGAGAAAATACTTAAGCCCATTCTATTTCCTAATCTATAGGGAATTTCTAATTTAAATTAGATTATAGAATGATTAAATATTTGGTTTGTCTCCAACTAAGGGTCTATTTGATTTCCATTAATTTAATTTATGGTTTGTTATAGAATCATTTTCAATCATACATTTACACAATAAAATATTTTAATCATTTTATGGTTTGTTACAGAATCATTTTCAATTATACATTCACACAATAAAATATTTTAAACGTATATCAAAAAATTTTCCTACTTTTTGGCCATATATTCTTTTAAAAATACTATTTAAAACTCATTTTTTCCCCCAATTAATGAGAATCAAACAAGCACCAAGTATAGACATTGTTTTGCACCCATTTTCTCCCATCCAAACAAGCCTCTATAAGTCGGAATCTTGGAACGGTCCAATTCTGCCGACTATTATCCTATTAAATTTCAAAAATAAAAAAATCTCAACCTACTATTTTTAAACCCAATCGTATTCGAACACGTGTCCACATTCGGCGGCCATTTTTCCATACCCTTTCTCGTCTTCAAGCAGCCTTATACACACCATTTCCAGGAAATTCACGAATCTTCTCGTAAGCTTTTTACGAATTGTGGTGTTCTTTCTTCCAGGTAAAAACGGCTCTCTCTCTCTCTCCCCCTCTCTCTCCCCTACAGACGATTATTCATGTATACCTGTCTATGTATACACGAGTTCGAACTTTGTTCAATTATAATTGGGATTGGGAATTAGATATATGACTGACTGTTAATCTTAGAGTTCAATTGTGACATTCTGGGAGACTTTTGGGCGTTGACTGTTTGAATCGGTGACGATCTGACCAGTTCCATCAGTATTTTTAGGTGGCTATTGGTTTAATTTTATTTAATTCTTTTAGATTGAATTCTCATAATTAGGATTACGAATTAGAGATATATGATTTTTCATCTCATTGTTTAATTTTGAGATTTGGGGGAAATTTGGGCGTTGACTCTTTGAATCGGTGGTGATCTGACCATTTCGGTGAGTATTTTATGTGGATTATGGTTTAATTTTTTGTTTATTTTCAGATTCAACTAATTTTTAGTTTGTTGGTATTTACTTGCTTGATTTTGTAGATTGTTGTTGTATAGGAATAATAGAAAGCTGTAAACTTGAATGAGAATTATTGGAAATTTTTTGTAATAAAGCAAAGAGGATGAGAATAAAAAACAATTTCTCTGCTATTTTACTTTTTTCTTACAGTGAAAGTTTCAAACTCGAAGTTTTTGACCTTTCTCAAACATGGTGAGAAATAGAACAATATAAAATGCAAACCTATAATTAACAAATATCTGTCGCGTTCTCACATGTTCGCTGAATCTTGATATCGTAGTATTACGCTGATGTATAGTTGTTTATACCCATCTAATCTGACCAACAATACGAATGAATTTGTCTAGTGGTACATAATGGGGTGTACCGAATGGTGTACACCCCACTCACATGGGTGTGGGATCCATTGAAAGAAAGGATATTTTATTCGAGTGGATCCTCGTCCATGTTAGTGGGGTGTACACCATTAGGTACACTTCGATGTACCACTATCAAAACCGCAATACGACTAGAGTTAAAAAGGTATAGGGGTGATATCTGTCTAATCATTTTATTTCGATTAGAATTGATTCAAAAACCCTTTTATCTCTTTCAAAATTGTGGCTGCATTGTTTTGTCAGTACTGGGGTTACTGCAGCCCCAGCCAAAAGTTTTGACATGGGTTTTTTGGATGTTGGGAAATGTTAATTATACACATTCCACTGTGCCAACGTGCAGTGCAGGATTCCCCGAGGGCATGTTCCCGAAGAGGAGTCCTCCTGGTAAGCGCACGTCAGGAATGAGTAGCCCCATTTCTGCCTTACCAACCTCTAACCAAGAAAGGTTGGTACACAGCTGACTCGATGAATGAATGGGTTTCATGTCTTCCCCTTGCCTCCTGGATTCACTGGGTGAGTGGAAGACACAAGGTTCATCTCCTGACAACCTCTACTTGATCAAAGGGGGTAAATTTTTGAATTTTTATGAACACTATTCCGGTTGCAGGACACAATTGAGCCGCCCAACTGTTTTGTTTTGTAAGCTTACACAAGATTATTACGATAAGGATTGAGGAATTTGTGTTTGCATTAATTATTGATTGTAATACTTGAAGTTGAAATATTCTCTTTCAGTGGTATGTTATGGCCCTTTACTGCCATGTATTCCCTAATTGATTGCTATATACGTTCTGTTGAGGGGCTTTCTCTTTCTCCACTCTCCCTCGGGATATAGGTATTCTTTTTCATTATCTCATGTATTTTCTCTTGCTGTTATTGCTGCAGTTTGTATATTTAAATGGGTCGTCCACAAGATCCACAAAGACCTTTGTTCTTTGGAAATCCCTTCCGAATGATATACAAGGGCGCAAACCTGTCCCCAAAACTTCTTGATCTGTTGAAAACTTTTGAGGTGACACTGGCAGAGAGGCTTAAAAAGCTTAAGCCAGTTGACAGGGAAGATATCCTACGTTTATCATGGATGAGATTTGCAATGGAGTCACTTTGTGCAATTCATACTGACATAAAAACCCTTATAACTGCGCTTGAACTTCCTGTCTGCGGTTGGGACGCTAAATGGATAGATGTGTACTTGGACAATAGTGTGAAGCTGCTGGATATCTGCATTGCTTTCAGCTCTGAGATATCTCGGCTCAACCAAAGCCACCTTTTTCTTCAATGCGTCTTGCATAACTTGGAGGGAGCCTCAAAGCAGTTTATGCGAGCACAATCATCACTAGATGGATGGAGGAAGCATATTAGCTCAAAGAACCCAAGAATCGAGAACTGTTTTGCCATCATGGATTGTCTTGCTGAAACCATAGACCTGCCTAAAATTAAGAACTCTGCAAAGGGAAAGGTTTTGATGCGAGCTATGTACGGTGTTAAGGTGATAACTCTTTTTATATGCAGCATATTTGCTGCTGCATTCTCGGGTTCTATGAAGAAGTTGGTGGACCTACATGTTCCAGAGACTTTCTCATGGGCAGAAGCTTTTACTGATCTACAGGCCTCCATGAATAATGAGATAAGAAAGATTTATTCCAACCGAAGGATCACAGTGTTGAAAGACCTTGAAGCTGTTGATACAAGTGTCAACAAGTTGTACCCGATTGTACAAGATGGTTTGGACCCTGTCGAAGCTGAAGCGTTGCAATACTCAACTTCTGATTTAAGAACACAGATGGAGAATTTTTCACAAGGATTAGATCTGCTCGCAAAGGAAGTAGATAGTTTCTTCCAAATCGTTCTGACCGGTCGTGATGCGTTGCTTTGTAACCTTAGAGTTGGCGGTAATGTCACCAAATCGGTGCAACCTACTGACAATATACAAGGTCAGGCTGTGAGGTAAACTATGCTTGTAAACTCTCTCCTATACATATGGATTTAGCTGTTAGGTCTTGTGTTGTTGGTTTGATTTTATACTAAGTACTAAATGTAGCTGTATTTGTGGTTATTCCTACCTGGTTGTAAAACGTTTGAACTAGTGCAATATTTCTATCATATAAGTTTGTATTGTCTGTAATTCTTGTTCAAGTATCAGAGGTCGCCCATATTTGGCCCGGCTCACGAAGCATGGAGAGTCGGGTTGTGCCGAACTTGCTTGTCTAGGTCTGCGATCTGCGCTTTTATTTATTTATTTATTTTTGGTTTTTTCTCAGGAAAATCGACTAAGAGTTGCTTATTTGATAGCATTTTGCTCCAACTGGGCAACCGCTGTAAACACGTATTGATAATGATCCATGTGGCTATTTGTATGATATTAATTTTGGATGAAGCTTGAGGTACAGATAGGGGTTCAAAACCCCTATTGAGCACTCGCATCATTGTGGACGGGGGTGCCAATTTTTTATACAAGTGGGTCCCGCATGAGACCCACATGCTGTGAGGGTCAGTAAGGGTTCCTACCTGGTAAAACAGCAAAATCCATTAATTTTCAAATGCAATAGGCCCAAGTTGACTGGAAAATGAGGAGGAATTGAAGGCAGCCAGCTTTGGCTGATTTAATGGTACACTTTGTGGTCAAATTATATGACAAATAGAATTAATCTCCTGTCCCAAGTGGGTAGCATAAAAACTTTACATGGCAAGATAATTTTAATTATGATTTTATTACTGATATGGAGAACTATAATTAAAGTTCTCTTGTAATGAGGAAAATTTTATCTTATCCACTTAGGTCATTAGTTCAGGCTTAATGTAACAAAATTCATAAAAATCAAACAAAGAACAGGTAATCTACTTTGAAGAATTCAATCAGTCGTTAAGATATTGAAAATCAATTTAAAAATATGAAACGTGGTTATCTGTGAGAAGTAAAATAGCTTAAAGAACAATGATTTTACCCGCATAGTATAAACATGGTTATCTATGAGAAGTAAAATCGCTTTAAAAATATATGTACTTAAAAAGTTTTACAGATTTTTTTATATGACTTAAGTCTTTAAGAATTACGAATTTACCAGCATAGTATATTTAAAGAAAACAAATCTACCAATTGCATTTAATTAAGCAAAATTAGATTCATTTAGTTCAAAAGCAATAATATAAGGTAGGTTTATGGGGATAAAAACTTAACATAGAGTTGCAATAATATGCCTATAGTCATTTCAGATTTCATTCACTGCTGGACTCCAAAAGTTAAATGAATTTTCCATTTAACACAGTTGGCTATTATGAAATATTCCAATGTGACAGTACATCATAACCGGCCTAGTTTGACTTTAAAATTCTTACATCAAAATTTTTGAAAAATAAAACTGCTAATAAAGAGAGATCTTATAGAAATCGTCGGTTCAAAAATATGAACTTTGATGTGTAATTTGTAATTAACATTTACTACGAGAACCTACCCCACGCCGCCATGCCTCGGAAAAGCCATTTTCGTTCACGGGTTATTTCGAGTTATTCCAGCTCGAAAGTTCACACCGACAATCACCCAAAAAACTCCAAGGACTTTGTCAAAAACCGAGTCTTTGAGCCGTGGTCTTGAATAATTTTCACCTTTATTTTGGATTTTTCTGGGTTTATTGATTAACCATTTTTAGACATTCTTTTATCTCTCTATGGAATCCAGCTCTGGGTCAGGAGATCGTGGTGGACATAATATCAAAGGCGTTCCCACTCATGGTGGAAGATATATGCAGTACAATGTTTATGGGAACCTCTTTGAAGTTTCAAGAAAGTATGTTCCTATCAAACCTGTGGGCCGTGGGGCTTATGGCATTGTCTGGTAAGTATCAAGAATATTTTTTATGCTTTCTTGAATTCAATCATAGATTTACTGGGGAATCTAAGTTTTTTGGATGATTTCTTGATAATATTGTGCCAATTTTTTGGTCAAAACTGTTGAAATTGTATGTCATAATTCTGCAATTTTCATCATATTTTGTAATTTCTGTATTACCTCTGTAACTGTATGATTATGTAGTTACTATAGATTATTTGGGTTAATAGATGTCCTTAGCCCATCTTCTTTATAGTTTTTAGACAGAAAAGCTTTAGAAAAATATATATCTTGGGTGGGCGGCCTTTTGAAACTCGTTAGGCGAAATTTTATTTTATGGACCGTCACAGCAATCACACAACCAGCAGCCTATTACAACACCTGTGACATTAGTGAAATAATGATATGGGCAATGTCCATATTGTCAGCTGGTATGATGCAGAGAATCTGGCAAGGCATTATGTTGTGGTAGATATGTAATTTGTTTTTCTCTGCATCAAAGACCAGAAGTATTAGTGAAGCAGTAGCTGCCTTGGATATCCAATAGTCCCATTGAAAAGAAACTTCAATTCCTCCAACATTTTGCCTGAGACAGCTATAAGTTCAGAATGCTGGTTCGTGTACTTTACCAGTACTCGCCCTTGTTGGACAGATCCAAGGTTTTCCTTTTTAATTGGTTGAAGTATTTTTAGACAGATCTTAACCTTGTTTAACCAGTTCCGAATGTTTTCTCTACAAGTGTTCTTTCCCTTTTTTATTTACCAATTCTGCCCCTATGTATTCTTGTTTTGTGTTATGACTACAACTATGCAATGCCGGTTCTTACTTTGCACCTATTTCGTCCTCGAGCAACTTGCAATAGCTTCACCTAAGATCATCCTCTAGGCAGTTTTCGGACTTAACCTCCAGACTCAACTTAGCGTCAATCACGATCTTGAGTTTGAGGGAATGTTAACAATGTCCATTAGAATATCTTTAATATCTTTTAGGCTATTGCAATGCCCCTGTTTGTCTCTGACTCTCTTTATAGGAGATTCCCAGCAATATCGTGTGATTATAGAATTGCTAATTTGTCGTCTTGTAAACAGGATCATTCATTTCTCTTTAATTCATAGATAGGAAAGCAATTCAGATCCTCTTATTGTTTTCATTGTTTTTGTCTTGTTCATTTCTTGCGATAGGAATTCTAGTTTTTATTTTTATTTTATTTTTTTGGCCTGTTTGTTAAATGATAATGTAAAGAAAAGTTCACTTCCATGAATCACGCTAAATGGGAATGGGTAAAAGAAAATTTGGGATTTATTTTGAAGATATCTCGAGTATGCAATAGATTTGTGTACTTCCCTGAATTTCTTCTGCTCAAGTCAATTAAAGATGCTTCAGTTATATTGACTCACAGAATGATGAACGCTAGTTGCTTATGAACTTGATTTCAAATTAAATGCTCACAAATTACTTATACGAGATATCATTTTCATTAGAGGCTTGCTACACTTCTTTTCTCATTTCGTTGCCTCCAGATAGCATACACATTGCCTGAATTTCAAATTGAGTTTTTCACTCGTGTAAGGCAAGCTGGCATTTTAGTATTATATTGTGTGACATTTGTAATTCTGGAAAATTTCACTAAATAAGTGATAGATGGCATAAATAGTGCTAATATTTGGAAGTTAGCAGTTTCAAGAAAGTAATTCGTTTACATAAACCATTCTTCTAGAAGAGACTGATTTTAAAAGCCAAAACGACGCACTACATTATTTTCTCTTGCATCGTCAGTACAAATTTTTCTCCCTGGTTCTAGTGTTCGTAAAATTTTAATTGCCTCGTGAATTTGGGGAAGGTGTTCGAATGTGTATAAAAACTTTGAAGTGATGATGGTGATTCACATATGCAAATTGTGCAAGTGAATTTTGTTTTTTCATTTGTTTCAGTGCTGCCATGAACTCAGAGACACGCGAGGAAGTTGCCATTAAGAAGATTGGCAACGCTTTTGACAACAGAATAGATGCCAAAAGGACGCTACGGGAAATTGAACTTCTTCGTCATATAGATCATGATAATGTAAGTGTTGCAACCTATCCATCCTTGATACTGAATCTTGACTAAGTTATCCATTGCTGCCTTAGCATTTGCTTGGGAGTGATTTTCCAAGTGAAAAATGATTTTTCTTGGAGAACGAGTGGTCAAAATGTAGGCGGTTGGAAATGATTTTTAAAAGTCTCTCCCAAACAAACCCATAGTTCATTCATTTGCTTGAAACCTTAGTTCTAAAAGTTTGTTTCTTGTGGAGCCTCAAGTGTTTGCAATAGAATTTGTAGGTTGAATATTTGTCTTACTACTCAATTTTTATACTTTCGCAGGTAGTTGCAATTAAAGACGTCATACGGCCTCCATTAAAGGAGAACTTCAATGATGTCTACATTGTTTATGAACTAATGGACACCGATCTTCATAATATTATCCGATCCAACCAACCATTGGCAGATGATCATTGTCGGGTTTGCCTCAAGTTCTTGCTTTGTTTATTTGTATTATTTTAATGGATTTAATAGCACTAAATACTTAGGAATTCTAACTTCAATTTTGTAGACTAGTGAAAGCAATATTTTAAAATTGGAAAATTCTGTAGAGGTGCTTCCACATCACTTTATCAAATCTGCAAACTTCTGACATGCATGTCTCATGCATCTTTTTTTACTATCCTTTTCTCCTCCTCTGCAATGGCCAAAGAAATAAGGATGGATGGAAATAAAATAGGGTTTGAATCTTCCGAAGGTAAATAATCACTAGAAAGATTGGTTGCATATCACCTTTGCAATTACTTTAAAAAACATTTTTGATTGATTGTTCTTCTATTGTTATGATGTGAGTTTAGCTGAACTATTTCTTGGATTTGAGCACTTATACGTAATCCCGATCAATAATTACAAGTGATATACCCATTCTGTCCTTAAAAAACAAGTAGTGCCAATCTACCTCTTTTTTGGAAACAAAAGTAAATGAAGTACATTTTTATAAAAATTAACTTATAATAAGGTCTCTTCCAGAATGAGTTGGTGATGATGACATCTCAATTATACACTGTAATTGTGCTTTATCAATTAATAGGTACCTGTTTGTTGACTCTTTTAATTTATTAGTTGAATATTTATAATCCATGTTAAACAATCAAACATATTTTTCTATTTAAAATTTTAAGTTTTCTTAATCATACATTATCAGTGTATACACCACTATGAGTATATATAGACAAGTTTTTGTTCTACTTCACTAAATTGTCTTACAAGGACATCTTAATTTATTTTCATTCTAATTTTGCAGTTCTTCCTTTACCAAATTTTACGAGGACTTAAGTATGTGCATTCTGCAAGTGTCTTGCATCGTGATCTAAAACCAAGCAATTTGCTTCTCAATGCAAATTGCGATTTAAAAATTGGAGATTTTGGACTTGCAAGGACTACATCAGAGACCGATTTCATGACCGAGTACGTTGTTACTCGTTGGTATCGGGCACCCGAACTGCTCCTAAATTGTTCAGAGTATACTGCCGCGATTGATATTTGGTCAGTAGGTTGCATACTCGGAGAAATCATGACAAGAGAACCTCTATTTCCTGGGAAAGATTATGTCCATCAGTTGAGACTTATCACAGAGGTACGTGTTTGCAGCAATAGTGAATACATATTGGTTTGCCCATCCAGTTTATTAGTAGTACATCCTTCTTAAAAGTGACTGGAACTCTTACAGTAGGCCAAAATCTATGAAGGTTTTCTATATTAAAAGTTATCGGGGATGTTTTAAATTGATTCTTTTGCCAGCCTTTTTACGTGGCTGTTTTTTTCCTTTTATATCTATCTAAATGCACAGTAAAGTCTGCATTCTAGGTTTGATCAACTTTTCTTTTTTATTCTAAAAGCTCATAGGCTCACCAGATGATGCGAGTCTCGGGTTTCTTAGGAGTGAAAATGCCCGAAGATATGTTAGGCAACTTCCTCAATATCCAAGACAACAATTTTCTGGGAGATTTCAGAACACTTCTGCTGGCGCTCTGGATCTGCTAGAGAAAATGCTCGTCTTTGACCCAAGCAAACGTATTACGGGTATGTTTCGACTACATTAACGTTTTGAGCGATTCTTAACTTCAATGTTATATTACAACTTGAGGACTACGTCAGATCTCTTGATATTTTTGCTCTATGAATGCTATAAATCATTGGAGAGATCAATAAGATACGTTTAGGAAATCGAATTCAATAACAATGAGCGTAAAATTCTGCATTTATCTGGCTAATAAGTCATCCAAGAATAGATAAACAACTTTGGGAAAAAGATGTTAGACGAGCACAAGAAATTAGATGACCGTCACTTTCGCATTGATGTTCAATTCTTTCTTGGTCATTTGCAGTTGATGAGGCTCTTTGCCACCCATACTTGGCGTCACTTCATGATATCAATGAGGAGCCAGTATGTCACAGGCCTTTCATTTTCAATTTTGAGCAGCCGTCATTCACCGAAGAGAATATCAAGGAACTCATCTGGAGGGAATCGGTTAAATTTAACCCCGACCCAATTCATTAAGGACCGAGATTATATGATGTTGACCACGAGCATTCTTACATATTTTGAAATCTATATTGAACGCATAAAACCTCAAAAGAATTGTCCAGGTGATATTCGAGTTTGAGATAAAATGGTCTTAGGTTCTTGTTAGTATCTTACTTGGCTCTTATATTGATAGTAAATACCGACTTTTTTGGGATTTTCTAGTAGTTTGATAGTGAGGACCTTGCATTTAACATTTATTTGTAACGCCCTAATCGTATCTCTACAGAATATTATACAAATTCTGTTGTTGCTTTCATTGTTGTGTCTCAATTTTTTTGTAGTCTTTAACATTTCTGTCCAGAACTTTGTTCTGAGATTGGGCAATTTATACTCGGAGTTAGCTGTATCGTTGGTTGGAAGAGTTAAGAACTGTCTTCGCATTGCGCAGACCTCACGTTATAGTTAGCTCGGTAGTCAGGAGTCAGCTAACGTGGGCCGATGAAATAGGGTAAGGGAATGAATCGAAGTAAGGTAAAAAGCAGAAGGAGAAGGCCTTTCCAAAGGAAAGGCGAAACTCCTTTAAGTAGTTAGGGCTAGCAAGCGTGAAGCAACTTTGGAAGATTCGAGGCACTACTCCCAATTCACTAATTTTTGCAATCTCGATTCAAAACACCCAGGGAACACTTCCACCATAACGCAACCTATGAGACAAGGACACTTGCATTTGGAAACTACAGGTGAACAATGGTCATTCGTGGGGCTCGTTTGTATAGCTTTTGAGATCCAAAAGTTGCTTTTAAACCTGTTTGGCTAATTTTATAAAAGTATTTCTTCTAATTAGAAAAAGTTATAGATTTTAGAAAAAGTTGGTACAATGTGATTTCTCTAAAATACATGAAAAAGCTCTTTCACAAATTAGTTTCGAAACAAAAATTAATGTAGTTTCTTCTGAAAGTTTTTTTATAGGAAGCAAAAGCAAAAGTAAAAAGATATGTCAAATGGCCCTTAGTCAAGAAGAAGACTTTGATCCTCAATTGTTCCTAAAATCCTTTTCCAAAATTGACCATCTATACCTAATGGAAAAGTATTCCAAGATGATGCAATACTTGCCTTGGTTTCTTAGTTTTCAACTTGAGGATTTTTTTGTTTATTATGAAGGTTTACAATTTCTTAGTCTAATCTTGGAGGATTCATGTGATTTGTCGCAAGTGTTATGTTACGAGTATTTCATCTAATGTCATAGGTGTAGATTGTTCTGAAGATTGAAATGAGGGCTTTGCCATTTGGGTTCAAAATTGATTCAAATGCAAGTTCTCAAGTCCATGCTATCAAACAAGGAACTAGATTTATGAACCCAGAATTCAAAGAGTCACACAAATTTAGGACAAAACATGGAACTTTTAGCAGTACATTACATTAAGGTATTCATACTATAAGAACATCTTTGTAACTCTATATTATCAATTGCCAAACTCTCTGAAGGTAAATCACACATCCCAATTTTCTCGAGACCTTGATCCGGCAGCAGATTGCATGGTGGAGGAACCACGCCACTCGTAATCCCTTCAACATCAGTACACGTCCACGGGTACTTCTTTGCCTTCTTAGCCATACCTATAGTTGCATTAGAAATGCAAATACCCGTAAAAGGATCACCTGAAATTCCCTCGAAACGAGCCACCATTGACACATTCTCCGCTACCACATCCCTGTAATTGATCCCTTTAATCTCCGGGAAAGCTTTAGGATCATAGTGATTATCAGGATGAGAACCATAATTTCCAGTTATCCAAAAAACCATTTTCATAGTATGCAAATTCATGCCTTTTACATAAATGTCTTTTACATATCCTCCTCTTCCAACTCCTGTTTTGATCCTGACCCCTGATTCTGTATTAATGGCTGTGATTTCATGAGCTCTTACGTCCTGAATTCCGCCTGACATTTCACTTCCTAATGCAATGGCAGCACTGTAGGGGGAAATGCATGTGAGCCGTCTGATTATCAGCTGTTTCGTGGGCATACCGTATTTTATACCGTATTCATCCCAACCACTTTTGACAGCTATACAATCATCCCCAGATACAATGTAGGTATCCTCAATTCTTGTATTTGTGCAAGAATCTGATAATATAGAAACATATTAGCAGCGCGATTTTTATTAGGAATTAAGCCTTAATCCAATCACGGGGATTAAATAGAGCAAAACCACCCTCAATGTGAGAGAACTACGTCTACTCATTGGCCTGGATTTAACAAAAATTCGGTTCGGTTTGGTGAAATAGACTCACCTGGGTTAATTCCATCTGTATTTGGGGATGTAACTGGAGCTAGGATTGTAATGCCTTGAATAAGAATATTGCTGCAAATTTATTCCAAAATAAGTGCAGTTGTAAAATGATGTTACTAAACTAAAAATATTAGGCCAGTGAATTATGATTATTACCTGCTGTAAACTGGATGAATGTTCCATGTTGGAGAATTCACCAAGGTCAGATTTGATATCTGAATTTGGTCTGAATGCATGATTTCAATTAGGTATGGTCTTGTGTACTTGAGCTTTTTCTTGTGAAATTGCTGCCACCAAAGATCACCCTGCCCATCAATGGTACCATTGTCACCTGATGATGAAAAACAACCAATTACCAACACTATTCGAGCACACATTTTCATGTCGCGCTCACTCATGCACGTGCACGTTACTCGAGCATGTCTGTCGGAAACTTATGTTGTTACCTGTGATAACGACGTCTTTAAGGTTGTTTCCGAATACAAAACTGATGTATCTTCCACCAGCGGCGTCCCTTCCATGGCCATATGACGGTAAGGGATCGACCAAAGGCCAGGTGTTTATATCCTGAAACAAAATGATATTATCCGGGTTAAATGATTGAAAATGTTAGTACCGATTTCAAATTTCAAGTGACACAACTTCCTGAAACAAAATGATATTATCCGGGTTAAATGATTGAAAATGTTAGTACCGATTTCAAATTTCAAGTGACACAACTGGTAGTGTGAAAGTAGACCATTGTTGTAACATGGGCCACTAAAAAAGAAGCTTTTATTAAGCCCCTGTTTACCATTCTTTACTTTGCATTCTTTTTCATTATTTTTCTATGCTACTTATTTTAACCACATATTTTTCATTAAAATATCATTACACGTAAATAAAAAATTTTTCCTTCTTTTTTAACCACACATTCTCCGTCAATCACTATTTCGTAATACATTTCTTCAAATTAATGGAGCTCAAACAGGGCATAAAATTCAAGAACGAAAACAGATCCAACCAGTCCATCTTATACTCTGATAGATACTATGGTATGCTTGGTCAAGTAGATAGGCCAGAATTTACTATAAAAATAAAAATAGAGAGAATCAACTTTGTAATTATAATGTTCAATCTGAGAACGAAACAGGCCATAAATATACATCAACTAAAGGGCATATCGTAGCTCAAATATTAAAGGTACAAGAATGTTATGATTTTCAATATTTTTCAAGAAAAATGTGTTTTTTTATACCAAAATTCATACTTTTTATGTTGTTTGATTGCCCTTTTTTCCATAAAAAATATTTTCTTACTTTTAGTCATGTGACCATATTTTATTTAGGGAGTAAGATTTTATTTTCAAGAGGATTCTCTCTCTCTCTCTCACCCACCCATAAAAAAAGACAAATATAATATTTTACATATTGAAAATTAAATCAATCAAATACATTTAATTGATCATTGTTATACAAATAAGTTCTAGGCAATTAAATTACCTAAAATTTATTTTCTTTCCATGCTTGCAATGTAACGCACCCGTAAAATCACAAAGAAACTAAATCCTGTGGCTTAAAAATTTACTTTTAAGTAAATAAGTAGTTTGAAACTAATTTAATTTTGTTATTTTCCAAAGTTACCTACTTTGACGGCAACTACACTTAGAAATAAGGAAGTCATTTTTTTTAACAACAATCTAAGAGTTGCTTTTTTTAAAAAAAAAAAAAGAAAAAAGAAAAAAAGAAGAAGCAATTTATCCAAACATGATTAGGGATAAATATTTACTTAAAAAGTAACTTTTAAGTACTACAGATTTTATACCTGAGAAGCCAAGAGAACTGCATCCCTATGAAGAAAAAGAGTGAAATGACTGGTGAGATTGAAGCTTCCTGTCAACCATTTACCAGCAGGAACAACAAGTTGAGCTCCACCATCTGATGCATATTGGCTCAAATGATTCACTGCTTCTTGAAATGCCTTTGTATTTAATGTTTTTCCATCGCCAATACCACCAAATTCTTTTATTGATGCACTGTGGGCTCTGCAGTTAATTGCTGAGTACTCAAAACTGTTCAAAATTCTTGCTTTTCTGCATTCAACTTTCTTTAGATTAAGCACTCCAAGAATCACCACGAGAAGCTTGAGTGCCTCTATAATCTGTAAGGAAAAGAAAATAAGTGAAAAGTAAGTGAGAGTGAGTGATTTCTAGTTTTTGGTTTTCTTCTCTGTTTAGGACATAGTACTGGATAGATCTCTACTAAACAAGTCATGAATGGGCAATCATATAAAATGATTGGTAAATGGTTCTTGAATTTGCATGTTTAGTACACGATACTTGCGATTCTCGAGAACTTGTTCTTCAATAATATAGTTCAATAATTCCCAAATGAGTTATGAACAGAAGAAATGGGAGCAGGGGTAAAAAAAGCTAAAAGATAGTAATAATAATAGTGTAGACTTACTGAAAATCTTAAGGAGATTCTGCACAAGCAATCCATTGTAGGGAGTAGAATAGGAATGTGTTTGGTGTTACACAACTGACAAGCATACGTATTTATAGAAGTTAAGCTGGTTACTGTCTTAATTATAATCAATTATATAAATCACTTATTTATTTGGTTAAATTATTGTAGGCTCTTTAATAACATATATGGACAAATGTTCTTTCTACATCAGAAGTTTTCGCAAAATAGTCAAATTTTCTTTTCAACTGCTATGGTGTTTGGATGTGCTTACAAGCTATTTTTTCGAAAGCAGGTTAAAATTTCGTTGGTATATTAACTTGAAATTATTCAAAATAAGTAAATTTGACTTACTTTTAAACACCATCAAAAACTCTCAACTGTTCATTGACCGTGTACTCTCTATATCACACTTTGGAAAGGATTCAAAGTTCAACTTTGTTTAGCACAGAACTTCACCGTTCATTTAACGAACATTCTCAATATTATACCTCGAAAATGTCTCGTAACTCTTGGCCTTTCATCTTCGACAAGGGTGAATCCTAATTCATGCGTCACGAGTAAGAGACATCTTTAGTATTTTACTGACAAAAGTAATGTGAACATGTGAGTGGGGGGTTTATGGATGTCGGAAGTCTTGTATTTAGGTTGTTGCAGTTGGAAAGAAGTTTGTCCCATTTTCTCAACTTTTTGGAAGTTCCCATATTCCATCTCGTGAGCCTCATCCGACCCCCACTAAGCACTAATGCCGCCACACTTCACGGGCCATCAATTAGGCATGGCCCACCAATTATTATTATGTAACTATTTATAAGATCTTTTCACTATCTCTTTTCATTGCATGACACGTGTAAAATATTTATTTGGTTACCTTGCCTTTTCATTTTCAATATAAAAATCAAACCAAATTCTCCCGTGAAATTCTAACTCTTATATCGCTTTAATGGAGGAAAAGCCCAATCCTTGAATCATACTATGGCCCATTTGTTTTCCATTTATGTAAGAATGAGAATGAAAAATATAATCGTTACAAATTTCACACAAGAGATAAAAATTCAAATATGATGATTTGATGTAATGGATAATGATCATATTTTTCATTTTAATGGGGAAAGAATAGGAAACAAACAGGGGCTATATCCTTATGTGGCCTAGAGACTATATCAAGGTGCCGAACCTTTTCATTAATGAAAACTCTTGGAGAAGATCAATGATTCAATATATCATACTTAGAATAACTTTTATTCGTTAAATTGATATGAAATCAAAAGTTTATGAGCAAAATAGGATTGTACAATTAATTTTAGTTTAGATTGATTTAGTTCAATTGTGAGCTTGAAATTTACATGGAGAGAAAGTAAATTTAGGCATTGTAATTGCCTATAACTTATTTGTGTGAAAATTATTAATAAAATGTGTTTAATTGATTTAGTATTCAACCTAAAAAATATTAGACAGAGAAAGAGATGGTGAATTACTTGGAAAATAAAAATCACTATTTCTTAAAGAAAATGTTTTCATTGTCTTTGAAAAAAATATAATCACATGACCAAAAGTTGAAAAATATTTTTCATAAAAAAAAATGTCAATTAAACACCGCTCAAAAGTAAGAATTTGAGTGAAAAAATAATATTTTTCATGAAAAATAAAATCAATCAAATACGCTCTAGATATAATTAAAAATTTTGCATATTTTTTTTTTATTGTGCTGGTCATCCCTACGGAGTAGACTCAGAGAGGCAGATAACTTGGGCACAAGAATTAAAGAGTTATGATATCATTCTTAAAAGCCACTAATAGTGGGGATTTTGTGGCTGTAAAATTTCCCACTGCGCACTTCACGGGTACAAAACTTTGTTGGTTTAATTTGTCCCCTTCACGGACCCCAAATTTTCTTTTTCTTTTATGTTTCCATTAAGAACGGATGAACTACATTTGACAGTGAAATTAAATTATTTGTGTGCACACTGGGATGATGTCAAATGTATAGACTAATCCGTAAGAATATGAGATATAAACAAAGAAAAGGATAATGAGACGAACAGGTCAATCTTGAGGCTTTACCTTGAAGTGACAGGGTGATAGATTGAACGTATAGGTACCTGAAAACAATGACTATGTTACATGCATATAAATATTTGATAGTTTTTTTGATAGATTACCAGTTGTCAAGATTTCATTAGATGTTGAATAATGCACAAAGGTAAACCAGTCAATGAAGTGTTGTCATCTCATCATCTGTAATGCATTCTGTATATTTCATTTGTACAAGGAGCTTAATTCATCAAGGAAAAAAAAAAAAAAAAAAGGACTCCAATAATGCATATAGTCATCAGCCTATACAAGCAGTAAGATTACAATTGGATCGAGCTTTATATGCCCAATGCAATCTCTCAGCGGGCCATGCCGGTGAGATCTTAACGGCTCTTTTTGGTTTGTCAAGATGAACAACAAAAATTATGCTTAGTTCAATGACTAATTTTTCTAAGCTGTCTAGACAATTACTTAACTACTTAAAAAATTGTCGCATTACTGTGAATATCTCGTACGTATGATATATTTCATGTCAATCACAGATTTTATCAACTTTTCAGTAACATCTTTCTTAAACTTTTATTCGAAATTTATTAAAAATCTAATTTTTAACTAAACCAAACAGGAACTAAGTTGTGGAGCATCTTTTGGCCTACCGAGGATTCAACTCTTATTAAAACCGAAATTGATTTTAAAAATCCAGTGCAACTCCAAATTAGTCGAAAGTATCTTATCATCATACCTTGTAATGAAATAAATCCGTAGATAAGTTAATTGAATAATTAGGTTACAAATCGAAACACGTCTTTTATCATTTACAGGTAACTATATTTCTTCATGTAAATTACTGATTAATCGACACCCTACTCGGCCTAAAAATTTGCTTCAACAGAGCCATTTTAGGAACATTCCAGTGTTCCACATGCCTGAAAAATCCCAGAAGATTTTAGAATTAAGATAAAACATAAATTTGATCTTCAAATTGAAGTTTAAATACCTGGATACTTTTCCAGATTTTTCATCGAAATAGTACTCTGTATAACCAGTAGCTGCAATAGAATTCAAGAATGAAATGTCAAAAATGAATTCCTAATTATGCTACTGTTTTTCCATGTACTATCGCTGACCCCAAATCTTGAGATTAATGCTTAGTTTGTTGTCGGTATTTTTATCTAATGCGAAATGATTTTCCTCTTGGCATCAATACTAACCGAAAACTTGCAATATTTATGAATAATTAACAACTTTGCCTTTAAGGGCGTGTTTTGAGCATAGTAATGCAAAGATTGCATGGTATAATTGGCAGGATTTTATCGTCTTTTTCTTCATTGATATAGTCCATTAATGTTTATCCACATTATCGAATATGCCATACAGATTAGTTTGATATACCTGAAAGAATGGGCTTCCATGGAAACGACATAACACAACTGAAACGCCAGTGTCCGATTCCTTTGTTCTGTTTCCAGGCAAGAAAAAGGAATCATTAGTGTTATGTACGAGTATGGGAGAAATTCGACTAGCTTTTTCCATTCAGTTAGTGGCCGATTTCGCAAAGAAGAACTAGTATGCACATGCATGCAAAGAATAAGACATAGCTTGGTGATGATAAAAAACTGGAAGGACTAATTTCCAACAAAGGTTCAAGTCTTGATTAATGAACTAACCTCAAAATCCTCCCATTTCATAAGCTTCATATTTGATTTGTCAATAAGGTATCCGAAATTCGTACAATTCCTCTTGAATCGACTTAGCCCTCGGAAGGAACCTGCAGGGTCGGCAAACTCACAGTCCGATTCATAAGCATCAAGAGTCAGATTTCCTGAAGATCAAAGAAAAGGTCAATTTGTCCCCTGAAATAGCATGCAAAGCTCATGTAAGAATATGCACTAACAATCTGAAACTCCAAAATTGGCTAAAAACAAGGGTTAGCATCAGCAAAGGTGTTTTAACGGCCATGTCATTACACAGTGATTCTCCATTAGCCATTTCTTGACATGTGCTCTCATCCATGCCGTTTACTCCCTAATTTTTTCATTGATCACTAAGAGGATGTTTGGTTAAGATTAAAACGGTAAAAGTTACCTAGTGTTTATTTTACCTTTTACTTACTTTTAAGCTAAAAAAGAAAAAGTTAACTTAGTTTGTCCATAAAATCTCACGACACTATCAAAGTAAGTAAAGTACTTGTCTTTAACTGTGATCAGGAAAACAAATTACTAATTTACATGTAATTTAACTTTTTAAGATGAGCCAAACAAGCTTTAAATCATCTAGCCCCCTTATGCACATCTGTAAAACTATATACAAGAAGCAATACACTCAAGGAAATAGTAAGATCTCATTACACAAGTTCCAACTACACAAATGAAACTGGGGTACAGCTAGATATACCCTGTGGGCGTTGAAAACACAATTTAGTGGAAGCAAATCAGAGCACTCAAAAGTACTCCATTTAAGTCCCACCGCCACCCATTTGTAAAAGATTATACGTGTTGTGCTTTTGACAAAAAAAAAAAAATATCCTAAATGCAAATGGAGGAGTTCCCCAGTCCGGCAACATAAACACTTTAGATGGAGTTGTTTCCAGGATTCCAAACTTCATGTTTATAACCCGAAAAAGATTAAGAGGAGGAGATTTCTCTTGGAAAATTCCCAGAATTCTAATAGGTAAGTTGAACTAGATTCAGAAAAACAAACAAATGCAATTTATCTGCGTCACATCTCTAAGAACGATGATAAAATCAAGGAGAACATGCTCTTAAAATCGACTTGCAAAGACAGGATAATAAGTTCACGTCCAAAACTACGTCTAAATTAAAATAAATAAATGCCAAACAAACTAGTCAGGCTAAGTACCTGTGACAAAGTAAGATCTCTGGAAGTCCTCTTTGATGGTATCCACGATTGCGGCACGATCAATTTTACCCAACCCATCAACAGCAAGCTCCAAATTTCTTTCTTTATCGTCAGTTTCTTTTGGAGAACGGAGAAAAGAGGCAGCTATGCCGAGAAATTCCGAGGCATACCATGCCACTTTGAGCAGCCCATTTTGGGGCTTGGCATCTCGATTGGCGGGTGAATTGTTGGTAGAGTTTTCTGCTTGGCATCGCAGTAGTGTGTTCCTTTCAGGGCAATAATTTGAACGGAAAACAAGATGGCGCCGGGGAAGGTGAGGGTCGAAGGTTGGAGTAATGGAAGGAAAAGAAAGAATAGACTCCATGTTTGACGGTTGGGATTGACTTATAATTTTGTGGATAAAATAATAATACTAAGAGGGTATATTAATCGCGAATTATTGTTTTTTCTTCTTTAGGATTTACTTGGTAGCTATTAATTCTACTTTCTTATAGGATAGTAATATTATTTTATGTAACGGTGAATATTTTTGGATTCTTTGAAGACACTTTAGTTCGAAATTTAGTGGAATCAGACAACAAAATTTAAATAATGAAGTTAAAGATAGTCCAATATTCAAAAAAAATATAAAATAAGAATACGCTTATCACTCATTGAAGTTAGTTGCCATTGATGTGGTATCGAATAGTATAACAAATAAAATTTTAACTTGCTATCCACGGTTTTTCGGAAATAATTCAAAAACATGTTATAAATATAATGTATTTCTTTTTGGGAGTTAGTAGTAATAACTCGATGAACCACGATTTTCCTTTTAAATATCTTCTGCTAGGAAAAATTGAAGCCATATATATATATATATATATATATATATATATATA